AGGTGGGGGGAGCCGCGGGGGCGCCGCTGGCGGCGGAGGGGAGACAGGGAGCGAGCCCGTGTCGGTCCCGAGGCGCTTCGGGTCCCCCCAGCGCCACCCACTTTTGAACATCTGGGCAGGTCTCCCCCGTTCCTAAAGCTCTCCGGCGTGGAGGGTCTGAAGTTTTCCTTTCCCGGCGCACCTCTGCCTTGTGGTTACAGGTATCCTCATACTGCCCTGCAGGGAGGCTGTTCTGACTCACGGCGTTTGTGTAGCAATCACAGTTTGTGTTGGTTTGGCAAGGTGAGCAAGGTCATCCAGTCTAACAGTTTGTCATGTTTTCTTGCGCTTTGTTTGAAATATTTGACTGTGCTTGTTGCCAGATAAAAATTGCTAACTCTGAACATGTGAAATTATATATGTATACAGTCATTCTGGCAACTTATTAATTGCAGATGGTCCTGATGGTTGGGAACAGAATGCCTGGCATTTGTTGAGGGGACAGATGGCAGACAAGCCATCTAGTTACAGCAACTGTATAATGAAATTATAACAAAAGGAGTGTTTCAAAGGCAGTGAAAACCCTTCTGAACCAAAGCTGTATATATGAGCCTCTTGAAAATTGACTTAATCAAACTTATAAGAAAAATGCTAATCTGAGTCCCTGGTTTCCAACTGTGCTCCTTTCTCCTGATGTGTCTGTGTTGTTTGGTGTTCTTCGAATAAATATTAACTGAAGCTTTTTTCACAGACCGGTTGTTTTTAATCTTGTTTAGGACTTTCAGGCTATCATAGTCCAGCCCCTGTCTCAGGGTATGCTGTTTCTCTGTCAATATTTTACTTTGTTCTTTTCAAGAGAGTAAAGTTCAACACAGTCTCTTAAGAACTAATGAATAGAAAAGCAGAATCCCAGAAAACCTGGCTAAAAAAAAATGAGGCTAAAGTTTCTTGTGTTTTAAAATGAAAATCAGTTAGCATGTTTTGTTTATTTTTCCCCTGTTTTTAGAGTTTGTTCAGAGTCTATGGACACGGTTCCTTCTTGCTGAGCAGTTTGTTACACAAAATGTTTGTCACCAGCCAGCTCTGCCACACGTTTCCTTCAAAATTTGAAAATGACCCTTGAGGAACTTCCTTTCTTCTTGCTAGCCTGCTTGCTAAACTGCTGTTCCACATCCTATCCCCTAATTATTGTCTTGTTAAGTCTGCTTTCGGGGAATGTGGAAGTTGTACACATACCCTGCTCTGATCTACTCCAGATACCGGATTTATGTGCAACTCAGAAGCTCAAAGTGAGGGGCCTAAATTGTGTGTATGATCAATGGGGTGTTGCAGCAAACGGTGTGTAAACACTTCTTGTGGACGAGCTCTCTGTATGTTTTGGCTTTATTCTTTCATGTGTTGTGTCTCTCTCCTACCTGCGTGCTTCAGAGGTCCACTCCTTTCATTAGCATGTCAGTGAAGCAACAAGATCATACATTTGTGTAAACTTTGTCTTCTTCCACTTCTCCCCAGACCTCTCTTGCTCTTTTAAGCATGCTAACAGCGCTGTGCGGAGAATTTCTGTGAAAGGAGGTAGAATGCCTTCTTTCCTATTGGTAATTAAGGAAGTGGTAATACCACCAAGCAGACCTTCCCCGTTTCCCCCATTCCTCTCTGACATTCTTAGAGGGTGTGTGAGAAAATACCTGTGATAATGGGGAGACTGGATGTTGCAGGAGGGAGCATCCTGCTTTTCCGTGTGCTCAATGCCATCCTGTAATGCCTCTAGATACCCTAACTACTTGGAAACTGAAAGCATGTCCAGACCAGCTCTCTGGGGAGAAAGCCCACACCCCATCTGGGTGGTGTTTCTATTTGAGTAACACCAAAATGATTCCACTTTAAAATAAACAATCCTACTTCCACAGTTTAATTTGGTTCTCTGATTTGAATCTGGCTTTTCATACGTTTATTTGATGCTTTCAAAAGCTTGAATTGGAAAAGACAGTTAACAAACATTGTGTACTCATGTTTTCAGTTCCACTTGTGATTTTTATAAAAGACCTTTATTCGTGTCTCCCTACCCCTTCTTTTGAAAACTGTAGAGCTACTTTTTGGTTGTTACTCATAGGGAAGCTCTTTTATCCTTTTGATCACCTTTATTATGCTTCCTTTCCAGATGTGAAAATGCTGGAATAGTATTCAAGACAGGAGTGCAACTTGGGTTATACAGGAGTGTAATGGTGATGGCGTTTTTCTGTCCGGATCCCTATTCTTGTCCTATCTATGTTTTTTTTTGTTGTTATTGAACACTGAGGTGACTTTTCTCTGTAGTACTCAGAACTATCCCTGTTTGAAGTTGTTCTTTCCCTGGATATAACATCCTCCGCGTTGCCTTGAAGTTCGTGTGCTGCTTTCTTGAATGGACAGGCCGAGCAATGGAGTCCTTCCGTAGTAATGCTCAATCTGGCCTTATTTTTACTGTGACAAATAGATTAATCTTAGCAAATTTCACTTCCTTGCTATTCAGTTGCTCTTACAGTTTGTTGTGAGGACAGATCCACGTGGGATCTATGTGTTTGTCCATTTCTTTTTCTTTCCTAGCAGTTGTTAATTTGATATATTTGTTTATTGGTGTGTGGACAAGGAAATCCCCAGGAACCTTTGTTGCAGCTCTGCCAGATACAATCTGCCTGGACCTCCAAGAGGTGTCAAGTGGATTCCCCTTGCTGATGTACGTACTGACTCCTTTGAAACTGTAAACCTGAGAGATAGAACTTCTCTCTACAAAAGCCAGTGATAATTTTTTAAGAGATAGTTACTGTCTTTGTAATCCTTTCTGTTAATTTGTCTGTGTAGATACCAGCTTTGCTGTTTACTAGTTATCAGATCACTCTGGAGATCTTTTTAAATGTTGGTATGATGTTGAGCATCTTTCTGCTCTTCTAATGCTAGGATGTTCTAAGCAAGGATTTACACTCCGTGGGTTTTATTCTCAGTTACTTTAGAGTTCTGTGAACCTTATCTCTGTTGAATCCTCTGCTGGTGTCTGTAGGGAAGGATGATGGCACTGGATCACAGTGAGCATGGATGTCGTCTGGGATGAAGCATCTGGCCTTCTAAAGGCTTGTCATGCCTTTGAAAGGGCTTTTCTAGTTATCAGGTTTATGCTATTTCCAACAGTTCTTCACTTTTTTAGCTGGACTTCTGGGGCTGTTGCATCTTTCCAAAGTATAAAGTCTTTCCTCTGTTCTTATTTGGATACAACTTTAGTTTTAGTGTCAAGGTTTTAGTGGCTTTCTTACAGCTGTTGTGCAGTTGGGCCAGATTCTTTTCTGTCTTTCAGAAGTCCTTCTCAGTAAGTGTTGTGCATATGGTCACATATGCAAAGACATATGGGGTAGTGTCTTTGAATAATTTCCATGCTGCCTTCAAGGATTTTTGCACTTGTAAAAAGCTTCATAATTGCATGTAATTCCCTCTTCTTTGAAACTAAATACAGCTACAGTCATTTTTTTTCTCTTTCCTTGCTTTCACATGAATGTTTAATCTTGGTAAATTATGATTACTGTTCTAAAGCTCTTCAACAGTAATATTTTTGATACGGGTTTTGCACTGATGAGAACAAGCCAAAAACTGCTGGCTAGCTACTCTGTTCCTTCCCCAATGTTGGCCCCAACTGTCAGATGAATTAGGCAAATTTTTAAGTGGGTTTCAAGCAACTCTCTAGGCCTTTACCTTGTCACATATAAGACATTCCTCAGTAATTATTCCTTACAAGAGATGTTTTATGCTCTCAAAAATGTGTTTCAATTTTTTTTTTCTTTTTCTGTTGCATCACATAATAACTTGTCGTGGTTGTGCTACAGAATCCCTCTAGCTATTTCTGAGGTAGTTTCTAAGATACGGCTGAAAAATATAGCTAAAAAGAATGGAGGCTTCATGAGATTGTGATCTGCTTTTGTATTTGGACATACGAGCAATAATGGCAGTATTTTTTAAGTCTTACTGATAATGTTTTAATGTTGAATAAGAAATTACATAGGACTTAGTGAAACTGCTTTTTTTTTTTAAAAAAAAAAAAGCTTTTCCAGAGCTAAGAGAAAGAAAAACATCATATTTAAAAGGTAAAGGGCAGAAAAACTTCACAGAAAAACAAAACGAACCCCAAAACCACAGCGTGTGCTATTAAAAATCCTGCCACTATAACACTGTTGTTACAGGTCTGCTTCGAGTGGTTTACAAGACCAACCTGTGTGTGTTTATATATTTATGTGTATTCGTGATGCTTAGGGAAGGGAGAAGAAAACAAAGGGGAAATTAGGGACAAGCAAAAGTAGAAGATAGGAAGCTGTACCAAGACACCAGTTATTGCCCTCCAGAAAGGATGAGGTTAAGGCTTAAATCTCATGTAGATCATCAGTGGCTTTTTGTGTGTGATCACAAAATACTAGTGGTTTTCCCTTGTGAATTACTGCTGCCTACTTTGGCCCTTCATAGAATAATCCTTAGATAAAATTAGAAGCTGGAACCAGTTTTCAGCCTATAGTACTAAAAATACATTGTATTGATCCTGTCGGTGTAGTTTGGCTTGCATTGGAGCAGAGAGAGTTGAATGTTGAAACAGAGCCATAGCAGCATATTTTGGAGTTGGACTTCTGTGCTAATCAACGATAGGACTCTTAAGGAGGCCCGGGAACAAGGCGGATTTGGAACGGGAGCTTTGTGTGGCTCCAAGAGCAATTCCACAGCCATCACTTCTTCAAAATTGGAGACTGTCCATATATCAGTTAGCTGTATGACAAGGATTTGTGGAGTGACATGTGTGAAGAGGGACGGCTCTGCTTTGTCAGCTCATGGAGGCACTATGCATGTGTATTTGTATACCATATTGACGAGTGTGTGTTTTGATTAGTGGGTGTGGGCTTGATCTTTTTTTTAAATGACATCTATAATATCCATGGAAACTTCTTAGTCATGTAGACTAAGGTAGCTTTTTTTTTTTTTTTAAGAAAAAACTTTTGCAGCATGCCATGATTAAGTTCAAATACAATCACCCAAAAGAGAATAGTTGAGCGTGGCGCAGCCCCAAGCATCCGCTGCTTAAAGCACTCTGCTGCTGAATGCAGGAGGTGACGGAGGGCCTGTTTCAAAACAGCCTTAACTCTGTCTGCACAATGGGACTTGCTACTGAGAAATATTTAATATGCTGGAGAGGCATATTAACAGAAGCTGCTGAGAGAGAGTGAGGACCCACAGTATGAGAGACCAGGTTTCTGTTGCTATCCAAGTCAATTCTTCCATGAGAGACGAAGGCTTGATGAGCACCTTGGTGTCTTCTGCAGAACTGAATCTGTGCTCTTCATTTAGCTCATTTTAAGGCAGTCAATATCAGAGCAGAAAGGAAGAAATCTTGTACATTCAGAAATACCGGGGTTTTGTGGGAGAACTGGCTGAATAGGTATCAGGATGGGAGGTTGCAATGCATTTGGGGACTGTTGCATTTGCTTGATTTTTTTAAAATCATTTTTAAAATCTTTTGTAAATTCATTACAGATTGACACTAAAAATCTGAAAGAGTAACCCAGTGCTTTGAAAGTAAATTAGTAATTCTTGCATCTTGGGGCACAATCCAGGCACCAGCTCTATCTGAGAAATCTGCTGATTCCTACTTGGCACTTGCATTTACTTATTTATTTTAGAAGGTCACAAACAGCCTCTGTGCTCACAGCGATGAGGAGCCAGTTTTCAGTTGGCAGAGTCTCAGTTCTGCTCAATCATGTGATGCAAGGTAGAAAGCAGAAAAAATATTTATTAATTGAATCCTAATCTTTTATTGATCTACCTGGCATGCACTTTATCTGCTATGATTCTAGCTCATCTAAAAGCTTGAAAAATAGACCTGACCTATGGACTGGAAAATTGAAACTCCTAGCGAGAGCTGAACTTTGGATCTCACTCTCAGAACAGCCATTGCTGCTTTGGAAGAGAGGACGGCAGCTGTCCGTACTATTTAATTGGAATTCCGGGGACTGATACCTAGGATGTGGATCATGACTAGATGATCTTTGTGAGAACAGCTGTCCCTCCTGCCCAACGCTGTTCGTGGTTGCCTCATTTGGGCACTGCATGAGCACCCCGGGAGGGAGATTGCTGAGAAAGCCCAGGGAAGGGGGCCAGGCGGCTCTTTGCGGGCCCTGACTTGGCACACGAGCAGGCGAGGCTCGTGGGGACCTACCCGTTCTGCTTGAGCATCCTGGCAAACAGTCGGCCAGGGAGGAGCGGTGTGCGGGACTTTGGAGGGTAATGGTCCGAGCCCGGACTAAGGGTTGTAGGCAAATCACTTGCTAGGTGAAAGACTTGTGGATCCAGCTGTGCTACAAGGTCCGACTTCCGTTCCTCATTGCTACTCCCATGCCGTATTGGAGCAATCGCACTGTCTGCTCTTGGTTTTTAAGCAAAATCAGCCAAATATCTCAAGTTGCAACAATTTAACTGTATAACTGGACTGATGTTTTCACTTGCACGCATAAGGGAAGCCTTCTGCAGTGTTGTCTGCTGACAGACTGGGGAGAGCAGTTAACTTATCTCGTGAAACAGCAGGATTCAGAACAGGGCTTAAGACTCGCTGCACCTGCAAGTTTGGTGCTGGTGCTCTTCCGTGTTTAGCTGCAGAAGTCTTGTATTCCCACTTAATCAAACCTGCAAGTACAACATAGAATCATAGAATCTTAAGAGTCATTAAGGTTGGCAGAAGCCTTTAGAGATCATCCAGTCCAACGCCCCAGTACATGCAGGGTCACCTACAATGTGTTACACAGAATTGTGTCCAACATAAGTAAATAGTTCTAGGGATTTTTAAAAATAGGTTTTCTAGTTGTTTGGATCAAACATCTGCAAAGAAGCTATAAATACATTGCCTTTTTTTGGTAACTATTTGATAAATTATCTACTGCAGGAGTAGCTGTTTGCTAAATTGCTTGACCAAGACCAGTGAATTAAACATTTTAGTAAAATGTTACACAGTCCCAATTCCGGCATCTCTTCTGTTGTTTCTGCTTTCTCTCTTCATTTTGTTCCTTTTCATCTTTGTTTTTCATTTCTAAATGAGAATATAGCACATACCCCTCTACATCATTTTCAATTTCTTTCTCTTTTCACCTCCTCTTTCCTTTTCTCCCTGCTGTTCTTCACTTCCACCCCTGCATCTTCTGTTTCTCCTTTCTTCTGCCACTTCTTGCATGTGTGTACTGAACTTCTCTTTTCAGATTCATCTGCTCTCCCTCCCTCTTTCTCCTTGCCTCACGTGACCATCACCCTCCTACTCGCATGAATGTGTCTGTGCACAGTCTGGGAGCCTTTCGGGTACTAAAACCTTGAGAGTCGCTCTACTAGCGCAGGAAAAAAAGCCCGTGAAGCTTCTATTTGAAGAGTCCCTGCTCCTGCCTTGCAAGCTGCTTTGCTTCAGCTCACGTCCTGCATGGTCTGCTCGCCAGGCCTCGCTGTTGGAGCGCGAGGGACGCGTCGTTGTGCCTGGGGCATGGTCCAGTGCTGCTGCTGGTGGGCCTGGGGACATGGAGCTGCACGGTCACCTGCTTGAGAACAGCATGAGTTGTCTTCTCCAAGCAGCTCCTGGAGAAAAACCAAAACCACCTTTGTATTCTAGGCCACTGTGGTAAAATCACTGGTTTCATGTTAGTGCAAAATAAGAAATTTCCTCAACACTGATGAAAAAACGTGTCTTCCAGGTTGCTGGGAGAAGGAGAGGTGTTGAGAGCCCCTGCTGCGTTTTGAGGCACTTGAGCGTTTTCTCGGAGTGTCCATGTAATGAGACACTCATTACACACATGTGCTGCTCCTCCAAAACAAGCTGCTCTTTCAGACCTTCCTTTTCTTAGCTTTCTTTCAGATGGCTTGTGAAAGATTTCTGATGCGGGCTTCCTTTTTATGACAGCTCATAAAAACTTTAAGTTGATTTCTCTGCCCAAACAATACCTTTGATGTAAGCATGTAAGCTAGATTTTTTATTGCAGTCATATTTTTCGTTTTCCATGCAAGGCACAAGATAAAAACCTAAATATTTTTTTGTCATTCAGCTAGTTCCATAAGACTTCTATTGAAAACTCATGGGTAGAATAAGGTACGTCATTGGAAAAGTTAATTTCATTTCAGAATTAAAAGCTAATGAGTGGCTAAAAGTTTCCATCTATAAAATGTGAGTATTATTCAGAGCAAGGCATTGCTAGCATGAATTGATAGACAGTGTTAACTGATTATAAATAACTTTAGAAATTGAATATTATATTAAATAAAATGCAGGATCCTACGTTTGGCAATGGGAATTGATGTCATGGCAACACAATACAGGTACCAGCAGCTCCTGGGCGTTGCTTCTCGTGGTTCTTCCATACCCAACCCCAGCCTGGCTATGTCCGCTGGGCAAGAGACAAATTCTGACCTAAGTTTTCTGATTTTTCTTGAATTAAACACACCTGCCTCCTTACAAAGCACAGGGCAGGCTGGAACCAGGAAAGCTAAAATTCAAGTGAGTCAGCTTTACAATGACCCTTTCTCCTAACTTTGTAAAAAAGAACCCAAAAGAAAATCCATACTGTGGACATAGCATGCGGTTATGTGGTGTTAATAGGGGATTAATCTAGTATTAACTCAAACTGTGTTTCAGATCGGACTGACATAATATATGAATTTATTTATGGATTATATTTGAATTTGAAATCATTCACCATTTTCTTTTTTTTTCTTTAGATTAAACTATGGATTGGTGTAGGCAGTGATTTTTTTAACAGTTGAAATGCTGTTAAAAATATCAGTAAAAGTGTAAAGCAGAGTACAGGTGAGCACAGACATGGTGAGAAGTGTGGGAGCCAGGTGCAGCTGTCCAAACCCAAAATAATCAAGATGCAAGTAGGTGCCTTCAGACACCTGGGGAAACCACAGTACACTCATGTTTGTTTTCCTGTTGAGGACTGAGGCACCAGTCTGCAAGGTGGCATACTCATTTGTGTTTACAATTTGCAGCCAAATGTAGCTTTATTTGCACAGTGTTCTTTAATGTGCTTGCAGACAGTCCTGCCAATCAAGGTTTTTTTCTGTGGCACATTTTATTACAGTATCAGAGAAACAGTGGAAAAAAATAGTTGCAGAAATTTTGTTATTTCCTTTGCCTTTGCAGAGTTAAATTTGCTTCTAAGTTCCCAACTTTTTGTTATAGGTGTCAAGTTATTATGGAGGGTCTCTATTAAGATTTTAATTGTTGCTGCTAATTCCTGTCGTTAATGGGATTTTTTTTTTTTGCTGTCCTTGGTTCTGTTTGTCTTCAGTTTTAAATTGAAAGAATTTGTTGGATCTAACTTCTCCCTAAGATTTTTAAGAACAAAATGCCCTTAACTCCTTAATAATTTAAGGACGAGGTTCCTAGCACCATAGAATGTGTTGTGTGTATTTTAATTTGTTAGCTGAGCAATAATTGAAGTCCTGCATGAATCAACCAAAATCAAACGTTATATGTTGTTGTGCTTTGTCTTGAAATTTGCAGCACTATTTGCCGTGTTCTTCTTGCACATTTCCTCAAGTCAAACTTTCACTGATACATGATATAATTAGATTAATATACTTCCATTTATACAGCTAGCCATCAGAGAGGTTTGTTCCCCAGCTTTTATATTCATGCTCTGTTGTTTTCACAGCATTATATACCTTTAAAGTGGCTACAGCTTATTTTAGTGAAGATGCACTTACACGTTTTCTAAGCTTACATAGCACTTCATTTCTGTTTGTTTAGATGAGGAGTTCGAATGGAAGGGGCCTTTCTACTTCATCCAAGGAGCAGATCCTCAGTTTGGGCTGATGAAAGCCTGGGCCACTGGAGACTGTGGCAATGAAGGCGATGAGTGGGGAGAAGAGATCAAATTAACAGAGCAAGCAGTGCAAGCCATCAACAAGCTGAGCCCCAAGCCCAAGTTCTTCGTGTTGTGCGGAGATCTCGTTCATGCAATGCCAGGTAAGGCAACTGGAAATGGCTCCATTTTCTATACAGTTCAGATTAGCAACAAGGTTTGTTTCATTTATTTGACTTCACAACACTCTTTCATGGAATCTGATTTTCCTCTGTTTTCATGTTTGGAGAAAACAAATGCTTGTCAAATTATTCTTGAGTATTTTGCTTTCATTTGGCTTCCTGTATCATTCAGTTCAGCTGTGTACTTTTGTTAGCTGTTTCTTTAGTGACCTGAGAAAATTGTCTTTGAAAAAAAAGTCCGAAGAGGAAACATTAAAATTCTGTCTTCCAAACAAATTGCTTTCAGAAGCTAAATGGGCACTCTAGCCATTGGGCAAACAGTGCTAAGAAAAAAATAGCTATGGCTTTTTGAGTGCCAAAATTGAATAGAGCTCAGAGAATTGTCTGAATTCAGCTATTTAAATTCAACCACTGCAATATTTGAATTCCTAAAATGCAGAAAGTCAGCAAATTGTAAAATTCAACTTGTAGCATTCTGTCCTGTTACTGTAGAACTCAGATTTGTGTATTTCTGTGTACTGAGAGAGGAAAAACAGCAGAGCATGTAGGAAGGTATGTTACAAAGTTTTTCACTTAAAACTGTAAAACTGACCCATATTGCATTTCTTTATTGTCAGTCAAAATCTCTGTTTAACTTGTGATACAAGTAACAAGCTTTCCTATCCCAAATATAGGACAGAAAGATCTCTCACCTTCCACTTTAAATAAAAGATCTTATTGGGAGTGAATAAAACAATGATCTTAGCAGTTACCAGTTGGCAGGTGGTCTCTGAAGTATGTATAAGGGAAATATCTTTTCTTTCTCAGCTTTGATAACAAGCAGACCTGCAAACAGCTTTAGCAATGGAGTTGACAGTACAGGGATCTATCAAGCAGACTTGTTAACATAGTGTCTTCTGTGCTTTGCTTTACACGTTGCTTTGCACTTCACTTGCACCCAATATTGTGCTTCCCTGTTCTTGTTTGCACAGTAAGATTTTGAGTCTGACAGAGACTTTCAGTAATTCCTTCTTTCTCAAAAAATGAATTTTGAAACCTTAGCTGTGACTCAAACTCACTGGCATTATTTATAGACCAGAACAGGTTTAGGGATAGAACAATATAAAACACATAGAATTTAACTTTACTGGAATTTGTTGTCTGCAACCTCGGTAGGTTCATCGTATTATATATCTACATGTTTGTACTCTATTGGTTTTCTTCATCCATTAATTTTGCAAGTGTCGGTTCAAACCAGCTCAGCCAGAATCATAAGCTAATTTCTTCCAGAGAAGCATCTTGCCTCCCACTTCTTCCAGTTTGTGCAAGTGTTCTAAATGTGTTGTTGCTTTTAGAATCCCTTGTAAGTGGGTGGGGGGAACTCGGGGCAAGTAGTAAGTGTTCTGCATCCTATTGAGAAGGAATTTTTCACAAATGAAATTAAGTAATCCAAGAATTTAAGTAAAATTCATTTTCTCTTGAATATTTATCAAGAGCTCTCAAAACAATGGAGAGTTCTGTCTGAATACTTTTGTCTGTATTGACCTTAAATATTATTAGAAGGCATTTTCAGTTAACAGAGTGCCAACTACAGAGAGCTTGAGTAAATTTCTGGCTTCTACTGAGTATTTAATGGCTGGTGCAATAAATGAGTATGCAAATATATAAACTTGAGTGTTGCAAACTTTTTTTTTTTGTTACGGATTTCTCTAGTCATTATTATGCCTTTTACCAGTCTATGTCTGATATTTCTGTAATATTTTAAATACAAATCTGTTAGAATAAAAACATTATCATATTTTACTAACAAACATGTAAAAGGAACCGAACAGATTGTGCTGCTGAGATCACTTGCATTCCTTGTGATGCATTTGCTGTGCATTGTATAAATATTTGAAGCAGCCTATAGCAATTTCTAATGAACTGCAGGAAGGACCAGTTCATTGCTATCTTTTATTTTCCCACTGTAAATGTAGCTTGTAATTTGCAAGTACTATGGGTAAGCAATAAGTTGTTCAGGTTTTAATATTGCTGGGTTTAAAATTATATTCTTTAACTCTCTGTAGGTCTCAGGTAGTTGTAAAATAGTTAAGGAAATACATTACTACAAGAAATTTAAGAATCCTCACCTGGAAGAATTACAATACACTTCTACTTTTGTGTTTTTATACATGACTTGCTGTGCTGTCTGTGGGTAAACCTCCAGAAACATTTTTATAGTCAGGCTTTTGTCTTTCCCTCGAAAAAGACTGAGGTAGAAGTGGCTGGTTCTGCAGCGAGGACGTAGCTGTGGCCCCGCGCTCCAGCCAGCTGCCCAGGGAGGCAGGGCGGGATATGAGGAGGGAGGTACAGGCCCCAAGGCAGAAAAGTACTTTATGGAAGAGAGCTCCAAATACGGTGGTTAAAAAGAATTTGAAAATAATGAAACAGTGCTTTAAATTAAACTGTTTGCATGTTTTGGAAGAATTGACATATTGAGCTTTTCAAGACAATTTTTTGTACCTTTTTTTTTCACTTAGCCCATGGAAGAAAACACCTTCAAAACAAAAGTGTTAAATAAAATGCAAAGCAAATATATTCTAAAGTGAGGCAACTTGCACCTTGTTTTTAAAATTCCTCATCAAGATATTTATCAATGGTTTCTTTGGTCTGGCTGGTTAATAGCTGTTTTTGTTTGAGACACTTGGCATTGAGAAACCAAGATGTTGGCTCCATAAGAACTTACTTGTTGCATATACATCATCAAATGGAAATCCCCTGATGTTAGAATTGCAACCTTCCCATGTTTCTTGCAGTGATAATTTTTGGAAGTCTTGGAACAACAGTCACATTTTCTAGTTTTCTGCCACGTTCCATGCTAAATTGTAGGCATTAAGGTAATTTCCTTGTTATGAACAAATGAACTCTTAACTTCCTTTTCTTAATGAAATACTAATGTGTTTCTGCCCTCCTGGTGAAAAGGGTCTGTTATATGGCAGTATCACTGGCACAAGTCTCTCTGCACTCATTCTTGTCCTAATACTGTGCTTGAGATTTCATACTTCTCAAGTACAAAGAGAAACAAAGAATATGAGAACTTTTACAGCCAATAGCTTTTCAGATTTCTTGAAGGCATAAGGATTTGTAGGAATAACTATTTGTAGGAGTGAAAAACAGTACTAGTATTTCTTTTCCTGGATTAATTTCAGTATGCTCTGGCCAAGGAGGTTTAGATCTTGGTAAAGCATGTTTATAGCAGTATGGTGCTGCAGTCATTCCATGTACCTCCTCAGTGGAGTCTCTCTTAATTGCTGTGTCAATGCCCTTACCATGTTAGTTCAAGAAAAGGAAGGATTAAGAAGATTAAAAACTCTTCTTTTTTCATTAGGCAAAAATCAGAGATGACATGCAACAAGCCATTGATTTAGATTTAATAATAATTAATTGGGCTTATACTTACCTTAATATCTCAAATTGATAGCTTTTTAAATAACTAGCAAGCTCCAGCTATATTAAAACTGATTAAAATCATTGTTAATAACTATGCAGCAACTGTAACCGTGACATGTTTTTGTTGATGACTGCTACTGTCAAGTGGAGTTCCTTTACATTTTACTATCCATTGGCTGATGTCTGTAGGGTTTCTTGCATTGCATTGCTTTCCAATCGATGCTTATCAAAAAAAAAAAAGGGAAAAATAAACCCACAACGAAGCATTTCCCTGTCTCTTAATATGTTTTGTCATGGAGAGCTATGTGAAAGGGTGACTGTTTCAAAGTCTGCACTGTAGCTTTTTAGCTGCAGCAGTGCTGAAACCTTCAGAAAAGGAGCTCCAAGAGACCTCCGAACTCCAGCAGCTCCAAGTGATGAATAGAATCCTGATCAGCAAGGAAGCAATCAAGCAGAGCACTTGGACTCCATTACAGATGTCATTAAAGGAAAGAAGTAATCAGTGTCAGTATCTTGGTATTTAGCTGCTGATTAAAAGTAGTTTGTACTCTGAATATTATTTTCAAAAGTTTTTCTTGATTACATAATCAAGAATAGGATATCTATTCCTGGTAACACTAATATTGTGGTACTTAATGATGAATTTTAAGCAATACCTTCCTTATACTGCAGCTTTGTTACTAAGAATAATTTCTGTGGGCTTGTTAGATACTTATGTGCTGTGATAGTAAAGACTTTTATTTCCACATAATTTGTGTGCATTAAGTTAGTGTGCCATAACCTAGTGTGGCAAAAATGGTAGTCTTGAAAACGCAAAATATTGTTGAATATGTTTGTTTTGCTGCATTTTTCTAAAACCTGGAAATATATTTCTAAAAGTACTCTCTGTCATATGTAGTTGAAACCTTCCATTTCAGTTGTTGTAAACTGATCTCTTATTCTTTGAGTCTAACAAAAGCCAAGCAGTTTGAAAGTGAAGCGAAGCAGCAGTGAAACACCCCAACTCCGCGGCCTGCCGAGGGTGACAGAGCATCGTCTCGCGGTGCCATCTGCCAGCTCGCTCGCCACCCTTGGGTGCAGCCTGTCTCGTCTCATGGACTTGTTCTGTTGGAAATTTTTCAAGAGCTGCATGGCTGAATCCGCTTCCCTTTCTGGTAGTTCCTTTGCTCCTTGCGCCCTCTCTTTAGGCACAAAGCCTCGGGAGCAACTTTTAGTGAAGACAAAGATGAAGAAGCACCGAGTACTTTAGTTCTATCTGCACCCACTGAGATTAGCTCGCTGGCCCATTCAGGAATGAGCCCACATTTTCTTTGTTTATTGCTTTATAACTGATGTAATAGTAGAACCTGTTCTTGTTGCCCGTCATGTCTTCCTAGTTTCAATTCTTCCTGACACCACCTCCGCGTGCCCAGGCCATGTTTCACTCTTGTTCCTTGAAGGTCTCTCTTTGCTTGCCTCTTCTTTTTGCTGTGGTGCTTGATCATGAGCTCCCCATATAGCCCAGCCATTTTCCTGGCATGGATCAGGCTGCACCTTTTATGGGCTGGGAGGAGGCTGTCCATGAAGACCTGCCA